GCGAGCGCGAGACGATGGCCGCGTCGTCAGCGTAGAGCATGGTCCACAGGGCCTCCGCGACTGTCACCACCGTCGTCTTCTTCCCCGCCGACCTGCCCTTCTTGCCCGTGTACTCCACTTGTGTCCCGATCTTGACCATGTCCGCCGTCACCTTGGGGTCCTTGTCGAACTCGGCCACGGCGACCATGAGCATCGCGGCAAAGAACAAGTTGAACAGCAGCGGGGCCAGGTTGCATCCCTGTCGGAGGCCTTGGCCCACGTCGAACCATTCCGAGTACTGCCCGTCGTCCGTTCGGACGCGCGCCCTCATGCCCTCGTGGAAGTGGCGAATGACCGCCAGCATCTTCGGGGGCACGCCGTAGCGTCGGAGCATGTCNACACCGCAGTACCCTTCTTCCTCGCGAGCTCATGGAGCCGCTGGATGGCGAACAACAGCATGTCGAGCGTCGACCGGTATGGGCGGAAACCGCGCTGCTCCTCCGCGAGGATGCCCTCTCGCTCGCAGTAGTGGCTCAGTCGTGTAGCGACGACCTTAAGCAGCACCTTGCCGGCGTGTGCGACGAGCGAGATGCCCCGGTAGTTGCCGCACTCCATCGTGTCCCCCTTCTTGAACAGCACTTTGATGGTGGCATCCTTCCACTGCTGTGGTACGTCCCCAGTCTGCCACACGTCCACGACAATGGCGTGGAACTCGCGGAGGAGACCTTGATCTCCGTCCAGGAAAAGCTTGATCAGCTCAGCCGGTAGGTCGTCCGGCCCGACGGCCTTTCTGTTGGCCATTTCCCGTACCGCTTCCTCAACCTCAAGTAGAGATGGGATGTCGTCGAGTGGCACGCACGTGGGCCACCGCTTGACCTTGTCAGCCGCATGCAGGTCGATGGTCGGCGACTTGGTGTTGAGAAGCTTGTGGAACTACCGTGCGCGCCGTTGGCGAATAAACGTGGGGTCCCGAAGGACCTTGCCGTCCTTGCCCTTGATGTTCTGAGAGGTGAACGACCTATTACCTTCGACGTCGATCATCTTCAGGTGCCTGTAGAAACCCGCCTGATCCCCCTCGCGGCTCTTCTTCTCGAGCTGCCGTACATAGCCCTCGAAGAACTTTTCCAGTGCTCTCCACCTCGCGATGCTGCGCTTCTTCCGCGCCGCCTTGAGCATCGCCTTCAGGGTCGCCTCGCAGGCGCTGTTCTTTGAGGCCCCGCGCAGTTGCTGCTGGGCCGCCTTAATCTCCTTCGACGCGTCAGAGATCTCGTGCTGCGCTTCGCTCGTGTACCAGCCTCTCTGCCCTCGTGCGCACCTCGCCAGCGGCGCGGTCTCAGCAGCGGCCGACATCACCGTAGCCGTCAGCTCGGCGGCGGTCTCTCCCGTTGGCCGCCTGAGCGCCGTGGGCGGAGGGCGGCTAGAGGCCCTGTTTTGGAAGGCGTCCCGTAGGTGTTTGTCCTTCCTCAACCGCTCGAGGTCGATACGGATCCGGCGGCTTCCGCTGTTCCCCCGTACTCGTCGGTTGGATGCGACACGGGGGGGGAGGCGAACAGTCGTAAGCACGATGTTGTGGTCAGAGTCCTTGAAGTCGACACGTTTGACGGAGACATTACGCACGAAACGCCGGCCCGTCTGACGCATGAGGATGAAGTCGAGGCGGTACTTCTCCTTCCCCTTGGTGGAGCTCTGGAATGTGTGCTGCACTCCACCTTTCGGTGTCCGGAAGTAGGTGTTGGTCAGGGAGAGTTGGTTGTCTGACGCCAGTCCAAGGAGTCGTTCCCCGTTGTTGTTCATAATGTCGCGTCCGTACGCGCCCATAATCTTGGCATCGCAGCACCCGTCTCGCCTCCTACCAGTACGTGCGTTGGCGTCCATTAGCACCACGAGATGGTCACGGCTGTGAACCTCCCGGATCGCTGCGTCGAGAGCAGTCCAGAAGGAGTCCTTGGCGTTAACATCACCGCCCGCGGTGGTGCGGACAGTTTCCGTGGGGGCGTACCCCACCACGAAAGTTACTCCGCAGGTGCAGCCAGTTTGTAGACGCACCTTCATTAGCCTCGGGCTAATGCATTCCAGTGGTCAGTGGCAACCAGCTATCCTCGCTGATCCAAAACAACTATTGCGGTGGCGCGAACGGGCAAAGGAACAATACGATAATACCGACCTCTCTACCTTCCCCTACAAAAGTATGCAGAGGCACAATGGACGCATACATGCGCATGTCAGCCCTGAACAGTGTATAATGCGCGCCAAAAAAAAACACAGGAATCGCGAGTACTCTAGTCCAGGGTATGGGGGTGTAGACTATGCGCGTCCGGAGGACGGCTGCGGCGCAGGGGAACACAAGGCACGAGCAAAGGGTTTGTGCACGCCGGATTGAGACAAGCCGCAGGCCGCTGAAGGGCGAGCGAGCGCATGATAAGGAAAGAAAGGAAAACGCGCCAAAACGTGCAAGCGAGAAGGAAAAAAGACAGCGACGCGAAAGGGCCTACAAACCACACGACTACAGCATGACGAGCGCATCAACGGCTCGTCTACAGCAACGACACGGAAGGACACCATAAAACGGATGGAGAGGCTAGGGATAGGGGCTGGCCCGATGTCTGTGTGGGTCTGTGTGGTCTCTAACCATTCAAGTGACAGGACCCTGGGTGTCAAGAGGAATGGTCCAGAGAGGACTGTACATGGGACCCCAGCCTACAAGCACTGCTACCGACCTGATGCTAGCTGCCTCTTGATCGGTACCGAGTTCGGTAGATGAGTCGGAAAGGCGGTAGAAGTGGGCCTCGAAGGTGGCTTGTGACAAGGAGTGGGAGGTCTCCGGTCGTGGATACGGTATTCGCTTGTTGATTATTCCTAACTCAGGGCAAGCAAGGAGAAGTAGTATGGAGAAGTCAAGTGAAGGCAAGGGGACCGAGCAACCTAGCCTCTAGACGGGGCCCGGCAAAACGAACCTTACTGCTAGTACCTGTTGGGAATAACGCATCCTCCCAAAGGTTCAACTCCTATCAACCGTAACAACGTAACCGTAACATCCCCCCATTAGCATGGACAGCTATTTGTCAGCCGTCACATGCCAATAAACGGTAGTAGGCAATGTGTAAACCGCAAAGTGACACGCTTCCTTTTGGAATACTACCATGCAATGTCTTTGAGTGGGCTGAACGTTCAACCGAAAAATCACAAGAGGTGAATAGTGGCAAAACCCAAATAAAATCCACTCCTCTTCATAAGTCTCACTGCGCGTTGAGCCACGGCCCGACATCGACTTGCGCGAAGGAAAACCCGGCCTCTGGGACAAACCCTTCGCTCCCCATCCCGAGAGCCCTAAAATTAAGACTGAACAACCGAAAACACCAAGTGACACTCGGACGTAAAATACTCTAACAAAAAAACGTCCCTCGCTTGGTGAATTCACTGTAGTTGCAGTCCGGCTCTCAACACCTACAGCGCGGGAAAAACCTGGCCACCCAGGAAATAGCCCATTGCGCAAAGCACCTACAACACCAAACCCAATCAAATGCCACGGCACAACAGCACAAACCCTCTTGGGTGCTACCAGGCACAGGACCACCCTTCGACTGCAAACCAGACTAGCACACAACACAAACCCTCGTGAGTGCTACCGGACGCAGGACCACCCTTCGACTGCAAATCAGATCAGGACATCTGGCAAGTACGGTCTCCGAACAGTTAAGCTTTACCCCACCTCAACTGGGTGGCGCACTCAAAAATCAAATGGGCATACATAAAAACCGAAACAAAAATGACTCTGATCAACAATAGTCAAAAACTATCCATGGTACATACATACGACCGAATCTTGTACGGACATCCATGATCACCCGCAGACGGTCTCACTAACCCCACGCATCCCCATCGTCCAGCAATCACACTAGCTCGAAATCCCTCCCCCCAAGGCAATCTCGAAAGTCTTTCCAGTTCGCGTCTGGACAGCTCCTCCCAGTTCCCGTCAGTGCAGCGCACGCGCCAGTAGGGGGATAGGTAGTCATACACCTGACCCTGAAGTAGGATTCCTCCGGCTAACTCCTTCTGGAAGGTAAAACCTATCGGGAAAACGTGCAAGGCTTGGGTGCGGGACAACGGGGCACGGAGCCTGACTGAGTCGGGTGCAGAAGCGTTTGCCAGCTGGGGGAAATACAAGTGCCAGAGAGCAACGAAGCAATCCAACTGATGGGGTGTGAAGCTTCGTCGCATGGTCTCTTCCGACAGCCAGTAGTCCGACACTACACCGTTCCCTGACTTCCCCTGGTACTCCCAAACAGTTCGCATGCCGGAAGCTGGTTGAACTCTGCGACAGTCGGCGATGGTGACTATACCCAAACTCTCTTTAGCTCTTGGAAGGAATATGAAATCGGCCCCCCACGCATACTGGGCGAAGTCTTCGGCTAGCGAGTGTCAGAAAGGAGGTTCTCGGAGGTGGAAAGGTTTCACATCGGCCCTAGATACCCTTCGGCTACGCTTCTTTCTACCATGCACCATGACTTCTACACTGAGACCGGGCTGGATCACCCCCGTCACCTTCCACGGTCCTGTGTAGAGATCGTGTTGCAGCTTTCTTCCCCTGTGATCACGATGTCGACTACTCTCGGACTCGCGCACGAGCACCAGGCTGTCCTTCACGACCCCCGCCCCAGCTGACGACCTCTCTGTGGAGGCGTTGGCTTTCGCGCGTGCAGCCACTCGAAGCTCATGCCGTTTCTCGAGGGCGAGTCGTACTTATCGGAGATTTTGCTTGCGCCTCTCCACGAAGTTGTCGAGTACCCGTTGCTGATCCATCTCGTCCGTAAGAGGAACTAACGAATCCCGCGACGTGCGAGGCTTGCGGCCGAACAGGGGCTCGAAGGGGTTCATATTAGATGGGAGCGAGGTGTTTGGCAAGTTGCGTTTGATCCACATTGCAGGCGAAACATACTCATCCCATCGGTCCTCAGCCAACAACTCCTGTAGCCATCCCCCCAGTCTCTCTACCGACCCTTGGCAACTCGTCCCACGGCTCAAGCGGTCTACCTGGCACCATGGCTACTCGTCTGCTGAGCGGTCTCTTGCGTCTACGACAGGCACAGTTTCAAGTGTCGTTCGTCATCGTGGGCCATTGGAAATAATCGCGAAGAAGGGACAGCGTTGCTCCTACCTGTCCTAACACTACCGGGAACTGCTTCAACATGGAGTCTCGAACGGCTATCTGCACTTGCGCATCCGAAGGCTTGAATGCGTGATGAGAAACCATGACAGTCATGGTCAAAGCCTTAAAGCGACGAATGTACTCTCCGTAGGTCTCGCCGTTGGACACGCCAAAACTACGAAGACGATCAATCCCCGAGCTCTTGTCTTGAGTGTCCCAGGCAGCCGCCA